ATTCTAAAAACCTTCTGTGTGCTGCTTACCCCATAGCCCCTCTAATACTTACCTGAGCTTGATCTCTATCCAGCACTGTGCACAGGGTCCTTAGCTTTCCCGGGTCTCTCTTTCCTCTTTGGCTGAGAGCAGCCCTGATCCTCTTCTGGGGTCCCCCGCCAGCACTCCTGGCCCCTCCCCCCTACTGAGTGCCCCCAGAGCACAGCTCATCCCTGCCCCCTGTGTGCTCCTCACTGGCTGTGATTGACAGCAGTGGGGTTAGGGATCGAGCACACATGAGTGCCCCCAGAGAAAGCAGCTTGCTCTGGGGCACTTGGCAGGGAGGAGGGGCCAGGAGTCCCAGAGGGGGACCCCAGAAGAGGAGGATCAGGGCTGCTCTGTGCAAAAGCATTGCACAGAGTAGGTAAGTATGACATGTTATTTTTTTTTTTTTTTTTTATTTAAACCCTCCCTTTAAGGCATATAATTCTGCTAATGCTGACAGTAAAAGGTTCCATACACACAAGGGTCAAAAAGATAGCTCATGAGTATTTGGGCTAATCTTCAACAGTATTATGGTGCTTAAGCGGAGTTCCACCAAATGTGGAAGCTCTGCTTGTTTGCCTCCTCCCCCCCTCCACTGCCATATTTGGCACCTTTTCGGGGGGAGCAGGTACCTGGTTTTGACAGGTACCCACTCCCACTTCCAGCTCAGTCCACCCCCTCCTCCCTCCCGCAGTCTCCTGGGGACTTTCACAAATTCTAGAAGACTGCCGGACCAATCAGGATGCACAGCGCAACTCGTGCATGCGCAGTGGGCACTCGGCTGTGAAGCCGCAAGATGTCACTGCCTGATGCCCACAGTTGAGATACTGGCGCCGTGGAGAGAAGAACAAGAGCAGGGATGGCGGGGGTCAGCACATTGCTGGACCCTGGGACAGGTGATTGTGTGTTTATTAAAATCAGCAGCTATAGTTTTTGTAGCTGCTGACTTTTAATAAACACAAAAATGGCTGGAACTCTGATTTATCAGTCTTTCTTTGTGTATGTTTTTATCTGCTGATGTAGTGTTTGGTTTATTTGCAACATTATTTATCATGGCCATTAAATTTAGGCTTTATATATGTATTTTTTCTATGCTCTCAATTTATAGGAATTTTAAATAAACAAAAAATGATGACATAAAAGCTTCATTTTTGGGGGAAAATATTTTCATGCACTCAGCTGGCTTACTGCTATCACATTGTATGCTATGTACAAAGCATACTGCAGACTGCTATTTGTCTTTGACATAGTATAACAATTCACAGGTTGCTGAACTTAAATTGACCAGGATGACAATGATCTAAACTTCTAAAATGGTGTGGAAACTTTTATAGTTGTTTGTCTTATTGGCAGCCATTTTAAAAGACATCATACATAACTTATTCTAATCCCTGACAACATATTTCTTATTTAAACTATTTGATTTAGCTGTCAGCCACAAGCAAATTAATCTTATTTCAAATTAATTGTAAACCTTTTGTTGACACTATGCCGCTACAACATCTACTGCAGTATGACTTGTGTAAACTTATCTAATTCACTTACAGTGGGGATCAAAAGTTTGGGCACCCCAGCTAAAAATTTGTATTAATGTGCATAAAGAAGCCAAGGAAAGATGGAAAAATCTCCAAAAGGCATCAAATTACAGATTAGACATTCTTATAATATGTCAACAAAAGTTAGATTTTATTTCCATCATTTACACTTTCAAAATAACAGAAAACAAAAAAATGGCGTCTGCAAAAGTTTGGGCACCCTGCAGAATTTATAGCATGCACTGCCCCCTTTGCCAAGCTGAGACCTGCCAGTGTCATGGATTGTTCTCAATCATCATCTGGGAAGACCAGGTGATGTCAATCTCAAAGGTTTTAAATGCCCAGACTCATCTGACCTTGCCCCAACAATCAGCACCATGGGTTCTTCTAAGCAGTTGTCTAGAAAACTGAAACTGAAAATAGTTGACGCTCACAAAGCTGGAGAAGGCTATAAGAAGATAGCAAAGCGTTTTCAGATGTCAATATCCTCTGTTCGGAATGTAATTAAGAAATGGCAGTCATCAGGAACAGTGGAAGTTAAAGCAAGATCTGGAAGACCAAGAAAAATATCAGACAGAACAGCTCGCAGGATTGTGAGAAAAACAATTCAAAACCCACATTTGACTGCACGATCCCTCCAGAAAGATCTGGCAGACACTGGAGTTGTGGTACACTATTCCACTATAAAGAGATACTTGTACAAATATGGTCTTCATGGAAGAGTCATCAGAAGAAAACCTCTTCTACATCCTCACCACAAAAATCATCGTTTGAACTTTGCAAATGAACATATAGACAAGCCTGATGCATTTTGGAAACAAGTTCTGTGGACCGATGAGGTTAAAATTGAACTTTTTGGCCGGAATGAGCAAAGGTACGTTTGGAGAAGAAGGGGCGCAGAATTTAATGAAAAGATCCTCTGTCCAACTGTTAAGCATGGGGTTGGATCAATCATGCTTTGGGGTTGTGTTGCAGCCAGTGGCACAGGGAACATCTCACGAGTAGAAGGAAAACTGGATTCAATAAAATTTCAGCAAATTTTGGATGGTAACTTGATGCCATCTGTGAAAAAGCTGAAGTTAAAGAGAGGATGGCTTCTACAAATGGATAATGATCGTAAACACACCTCGAAATCCACGGCGGATTACATCAAGAGGCGTAAACTAAAGGTTTTGCCATGGCCTTCACAATCTCCTGACCTCAACATAATTGAAAATCTATGGATAGACCTTAAAAGAGCAGTGCGTGACAGACAGCCCAGAAATCTCAAAGAACTGGAAGACTTTTGTAAGGAAGAATGGGCAAAGATACCTCAAACAAGAATTGAAAGACTCTTGGCTGGCTACAAAAAGCGTTTCCAAGCTGTGATACTTGCCAAAGGGGGCAGTACAAGATATTAACTCTGCAGGGTGCCCAAACTTTTGCAGACGCCATTTTTTTGTTTTCTGTTATTTTGAAAGTGTAAATGATGGAAATAAAATCTAACTTTTGTTGACATATTATAAGAATGTCTAATCTGTAATTTGATGCCTTTTGGAGATTTTTCCATCTTTCCTTGGCTTCTTTATGCACATTAATACAAATTTTTAGCTGGGGTGCCCAAACTTTCGATCCCCACTGTACATCTCTTGTTTTATTAATAGGATGCAAAGAAATTACCTTTTCATTTTCATTTGACAAAATGAGTATCTGAAGGCCCTATCAGTGACAAAGTAAGCAGTAGCTAGTGTGTACTGATCAACTTAGCTGAACCTGCTGAATTTTGAAGGGTTACAGTGAGGAACAGAAGTATAGCTGTTATAGCTGCAAAGGGTGGGCCAACTCAATATTGAACCCTACAGACTAAAACTGGGATACCATTAAAGTTCATGTGCGTGTAAAGGCAGCAGGCCCAATACTTTTGGCAATATAGTGTATGTTGGGTGGGGGTTCCATGTCATTTTTACAAAGAAGACCAAGCTGGAAGGAGAATGTCATTTACAGGCAATTTATTATTTTTCTTTGTGTCAGTTTTGCTGTAGTACATTACATACATCGTACAGGTTCGCTACTTTACAGGCAGGTTTAAGACATTGGGAATTGGACACTTTAAACATCACTAAATCATTAAAATCACTGCTGCCTGCAAAACAGTATTTTTAAAAAGTTTTTTTGCTTTTGTACATATGCCCCCCCTGGCTGTGCCCAGCCCTCCATGCCATTTTTCCCCTCAAACTGTATCCAGGTACATTCAGCTCCTAGCTGGTACAGATGCAAGGTTTTTAAACCATAATGCATATTGCTTGAAACATACATCAATGTTCAGTTTAATTAAATAAGAATTTATTTTACATCAGATTGGATAACAGAAGTAAATGCAGTTCAATGCTCTATGTGAAAATGTACTCTTTTGCAAAAATACAGCGAGGAACAGAAGGATTTGAACACCCTGCGATTTTGCAAGTTCTCCCACTTAGAAATCATGGAGGGCTGGGCACAGCCAGGGGGGGGCATATGTACCAAAGCAAAAAAACTTTTTAAAAATACTGTTTTACAGGCAGCAGTGATTTTAATAATTTAGTGATGTTTAAAGTGTCCAATTCCCAATGTCTTAAACCTGCTTGTAAAGTAGCCAACCTGTACGTAATGTACTACAGCAAAACTGACACAAAGAAAAATAATGCAATTTAAATTGCCTGTAAATGACATTCTCCTTCCAGCTTGGTCTTCTTTGTAAAAATGACATGGAACCCCCACCCAACATACACTATATTGCCAAAAGTATTGGGCCTCCTGCCTTTACACACACATGAACTTTAATGGCATCCCAGTCTTAGTCTGTAGGCTTCAATATTGAGTTGGCCCACCCTTTGCAGCTATAACAGCTTCAACTCTTCTGGGAAGGCTGTCCACAAGGTTTTGGAGTGTATCTATGGGAATGTTTGACGATTGTTCCAGAAGCGCAATTGTGAGATCAGGCACTGATGTCGGATGAGAAGGCCTGGCTCGCAGTCTCCTCTAATTCATCCCAAAGGTGTTATATTGGGTTGAGGTCAGGACTCTGTGCAGGCCAGTCAAGTTCTTCCACCCCAAACTCGCTCATCCATGTCTTTATGGACCTTGCTTTGTGCACTGGTGCACAGTCATGTTGGAACAGGAAGGGGCCATCTCCATAGTTGGGAGTATGAAATTGTCCAAAATGTCTTGGTAGGCTGACGCCTTAAGAGTTCTTTTCACTGGAACTAAAGGGGCCAAGCACAACCTTTTTAAAAACAACTCCACACCATAATCCCCCTCCACCAAACTTTACACTTTACACTTGACACAATGCAGTCAGGCAAGTACCATTCTCTTGGCAACTGCCAAATCCAGACACGTCTATCAGATTGCCAGACAGAGAAGCGTGATTCGTCACTCCAGAGAACACGTCTCCACTGCTCCAGAGTCCAGTGGCGGCATGCCACGCACTGTTGTTGTGCTAATCTGAAGGCCACATGAAGTTTGGAGGTCTTTAGTTATTAACTCGGCAGACAGTTGGCGACTTCTGTGCACTGTGCGCTCCATCATGCACTTACCCAGCTCTGTCATTTTACATGGCCTACCACTCCGTGGCTGAGCTTCTGGTATTCCCAGTTGCTTACACTTTGTTATAATACCACTAACAGTTGACCGCGGAATATTTAGTAGCAAGGAAATTTCACGGATGGACTTATTGCACAGGTGGCAACCTATCACATTACCACGCTTGAATTCACTGAGCTCCTGAGCGCATCTCATTGTTTCACAAATGTTTGTAGAAGCAGTCTGCATGCCTAGTGTCAGGGTCCTATCCATGGCAGAAGTCCTGGAAGATCGGGCATTTCCGCCAGTACCTTACATGGCCACAGAAATACACGCATCAGGCCCAGTTTTGGCGCCAAACAACCTTTATAAGGAGGCTCTTCACTCCTTCAAGTACCTTGTTCCTGGTTTCTGTTTCCTGTGTTATCGTGACCTGTGACTTCCTGCTACCGACTTGGCTTGCTCTTGGACCTGTCTACTCTGCTTAACCCCTGATCTGATCTCGGCTTGGCTAATGGATACTCTCTCTCTCGCTCCTCAGTGTATGACCTCGGCTATCCCATCTGACTACGTCTGCTCTGATTCCCACCTGGTACCTGACCTTGGCTTGAACCGGCTATCCAATAATCCTCTATTCCCGGAAGGGCTTGCATACCTCGCACAGGCGCCATCTGTCTGCAGCCTCAGCTCTGTGCATCAGCTGTGCTCCTGGGTGGACCACCAACAAGCACTCCTACAGGCGACCTGTGCCACTTTGGGCCTGACTCCCGCTGTCCCACTCTCAGGAGAGTCTGGAACTTAGCTGCAAGGGAAGCCCTAAACCATTGGCCTCCATCACCAGGTACCTGATACCTATGTGGTAGATTTTTTACACCTGTGGCCATGCAGGTGATTGGAACACCTGAATCCAATGATTTGCCGGGGGGGTGTCCCAATACTTTTATCAATATAGTGTACATATAGACCTTTAAGGGTCTGGTATGTATTTTGGGGTGGGGGAAACCCCCCCCCCCCACACACATGAATAAGTGAGGGGTGCATAATACCTACTTAATCACACAAAACAATATTAACCGTAAATAAGCACACCACACACTTTGAAAAGTCCTTTATTAAACAAAGAAAGTCCCACCATGTACTATAAATCCATATTCAGTCAGGTTATCCAGTGATGCAGATTCTCATTAACCGATGAACATCATCCACTGAAAAAAAAAACACACGCTGACACCACTGTTTCTGATGGAGACTTATATCAAATGACAAATCCTTGGCCATATTTTGGTAGACGTCATTGGCCAAAAATGGCCATTTCCCTTGACCCATATGACCATGGCCATATTTGCTCAATGATGTCAGCCTCCATCCCTACCCTTTTGTTTACATTAAGAAGTCAGCTGGGAATGTCTGGCTGAAAGCTGAGTGGTACGGTGGGGTGGAGATACATCACTGGCTGCTAGGAAGCTGGCTTCCTAAAAAACAACCTGGATGGGATACTGTCAGATTTAGCAGCAGGAGAAAAAAAAACATTGCTAAGCATGATCTATTAATAAATACAAAGTCAGGGCATGGCTTGGACTCTGGAACGGATAGCCGCAGAGCTCTGAGACAACAGCTGCCTTTTCAGCGATTTCCCAGTCCCTGTTTGTTTGAAAATGGGCAAACTTACCAGACACAACTTACTCACCCATCTGCATCGTCTGGTGGTGGAATCTTCTAGCAGAAACATTTCAGACATCTTCAAGTCCCAACCTCCTCAATCCATGGTGACGATAGGCAAGATGGCGCCGGTCTGCATGGAAGATAACTACAGAGAAGAGTCTCTCAGTCTGCAAAGACACAGTAAGAGATACCGATGACTTACCTCCCACTTACACCATTATGACCGCTATAGCAGCTGATATAAAAAATTCTCTCCCAGATGCCATTACTGATTTAAAGGCCGACTTCCTGGTCCTGACTGAGAAACTAGCCACTACTGAACATGATGAGAAGCGGAGAGACAAGGCCATATCTAGACTGGAGATGACTGCTGAATCTCAAGCCCACCACCTTATTGCTATTAACAGGCACCTTGAGGACTTAGACAACAGAGGCAGGAGACATAACATTAGAGTAAGAGAGATACCAGATTCGGTTGCTGCTGATCAACTACGACAAGCTTTACAATGATTTTTTAATAATTTATTAGAAAGGCCAGAAGACTCCCCTATTGACTTTGATCGGGCTCATAGAGCGTTAAGACAGAAAGGCCCTGAGGATGCGCCTCCGAGGGATGTGATATGCTGTTTTCCAGACTTTAAGCTAAAAGAAGAGATCTTAGCAAAAGCCAGGCTGAACGAGCTGATTATTTTTAATGGTGAAACCATCACGCTGTTTCAGGATTTGTCTCCCATTACTCTCAACAATAGGCTAGCCTTGTGCCCCCTTCTGGAGATCCTGAGAGACAAAGGTATCACATATCATTGGCGCTTTCCCTTCACCCTGTGCACTACTCTCGAGGGGAAACAGCATTACCAATGTATGCCAGAGGACCTGCCTACATTCTGTGATTCGCTATAGCTACCCAGCTTGGATCTGCCAGAATGGTATCAGGAGTTCCGCTTGCCTCCCCCGATACTTAGCCCTGCACAGACCCCCCAGTCTTCGCCTTCAAAACCACCTTCCAGAAGGGCAAATACCATAAATCTACTCCTGGTAAAACAGGGCCTCCACGCTCATCTGTAAAATCCTTCAAGTTGTTGGTTGATGGAGGACCTTCGTGAAGTTCTGATGTCTTATATTGTCCTTCATAAAAATCATGTTAATTGCTTTGTGATCTTATAGCTCTAATCAAAGATCAGATACTGACTGCATGCTCCTTCTCCCCCCCCCCTTTTTTATTTTGGCTAGTTTTCTTTTGCTGCAGATGTTACCATAGACGCGGCAGACAACTCTTCTGATTGCTAAGTTCAGGACTGAACTGGAGGTCTTAAAACACTTTCTAGTGTTTACTGAATACCAAGTGATCTCAGGGTCACTTACCACCACATAACCTTCAGACAACATAATGTGCCGCTTATCATATTTTTACCGACCCCCCCCCCCCCCCCCCCCTCCCCTCTCCCCCCCTTTTTTTCTCTCTCTCTCTCCTTACCTTTCTCTTCCCATTCCCCCCCCCCTTTTTTTTTCTTCCTTTTTTTCTTTCCTCCATTTCCTTTCTTATTCATTCTTATCCCCTCCCTCCCCCTCTTACATTTTTGGTGTCTATTATTCAGAAGAGACCTGGAAAAAGTTTTAGAAAACTGTATATTTTTTCTTTGAGGCACCGAGGTAAATTGTGAGTAACTACTGGTTAAATAGAATTACCTTTGTGGCACATTTCGTGCTTGGTTTGTTCTTCCATGTTTCCCCACAAATAGACGTGTTCATAAGAGTGTATAAATTGTTATACTCATTCTTTTATTTTTGTCTCATGCCACGCTAACTGGTTGCCTTTGACACTTGCTGTAGTAAGGCATTACTTCCTGATTCCTGCCCCTTTGGAGTGGCAAAGTGATATCATACGTGTAATATCTTCCAACTACATTTGTGCCCTCCACAGGGTTGGTACACTCTATTGTTTTTCAACAGTTAGGTTGAAATATACAGGTTTTTTGTGTGTGCTATCTGCTCTTTCTTCTCCCCCTTTGTTTTCATTTTCTTTCCTTTCCTTCTTCCTCTGTCATTTTTCTCTATTTCCTAAAGGACATACGGGATCCACCAAGGTATCTCTTGCACTCCTCTCCAGCTATTCTCCAGTAGGATTCTATCTTGCCAACAATGGCCTTTTCTACACTAGGTAAAAACCCTACTGTAATTTCCTTCAATACCAAGGGCTTAAATATCCCTGAAAAGAGGACAACATTATTGTGGAATTGAAGAAAATTAAACCCCTTTTTGTCTTTTTGCAAGAAACACACTTTAAAACAGGACACATCCCAAAGCCTGCTTCAAAAAAACTCTACCCTCAGATGTACCATGCATCCAATCCTCTAGCAAAAACAAAAGGGGTCTCAATTTTGATTAGTAAGGCAGCACAGTTTTCTTTAGATGGCCAACTTGCAGATCCTCAGGGTCGCTATATTTTCATCAAAGGCACCCTATCAGGCAATCCCGTGACTTTAGGCAACATTTATTTCCCTAACACAGCACACGTGACCTTTTGTAAACATATAGTAGATTAATTGAAATGGTTTGCCTCCAGTTGCTCAATACTTGCATGACATATAGAATGCTGAAAAAATTGAAGAGTCTCTTACAATCCCTGTTGCTAGTTGATACCTGGCGATCGGTTTACCCATCGAGCAAAGATTCTACCTTTTTTTCGATACTTCATAACCGTCACTCGCGGATTGACTATTTCTTTATCGCCCAACGAGACTTGCCAATACTTGTCAATGTAGCAATTGTGATTAAAACCATCTCTGATCATGCTCCTATATCACTAACCCTGAACCTGGCCCATAGAACTCAGAGAATAAAAAACTGGAGACTGAACGCTAGTCTTTTGATGGACCCCCTGACTTACCCACTAATTGGGTAAGTCAGGCGATTGAGAATTACTTTGATATTAATATCAAGGACAATCTATGCACCTTGACTGTGTGGGAGGCCCATAAAAGTACTATACTTGGGGAGTTTATTAAATGGGGATCTATACAAAAAAAAAGAGAAAGAACAAAAAATTACCCAACTCTCTGCCACTATAGCCAAATTAGAAGCTCTTCATAAACATTCCTCCTGTCAGGAATGGACTTGCCAGTGGTGGTGGGACTCACCTGCCTTGTGGGCTGCAGTACCAGGGCTGGCCAGCGGGTGCTCTCAGCAACCAGAGGCTCACTCCTGCAATGAGCCATCACCTGAGGCTGATTACAGCAGGTGTATTTAAGGAATGGCCAGGCCTGTGATCAGGGCCTTGGTGTATGTTTCCCATGAGCCCCTGTACCTGCATCCTGTCTGCTTCCTGCCTGATCCTGATTCTGCTTTAATCCTGACTCTGCATGAACTCTGCCTGTCCTGACCTCGGCTATTCCTTACTACGCTTCCGCCTGCTCCTTGTACCTTATGTTTAGTCTTGCACTGCGTTTATGTATTGTTTAGTCTTTAATAAATTGTATTGTTTATACTATACCTGAAGCCTGTGTTTCCCTGTGTCAGTCCACACATTTCTGGTCATACCCGGATCCCTAACACCTCCTTTACCCAGGCTGCCAGGGCTCTGTTAGAGGCTAGGGTTTCCTTGCAACAACTTTTGGAACTAAATGCCAAACAGGCATTATTCCTAAAAAAAAAAAAGTATATTATGACTATGGTGATAAAACTGGTAAATACCTAGCTAGGGCTTTAAAAGATCCTAACACCTATACCATTATACACCATATTCGAAATCCGCTAGGCAAGTTGGAGAATGCCACAGACAAAATAGCGGCACAGTTTCCCCAATTCTACTCCAACCTGTACAACCTCCCTCTACAACATAGGCCTGCCTCTTTTCAAGGTAATAGGGCGACCATTATAGAGGAGTATCTACAAACTTGTGGAATGCGTACTTTACCTTTAGAAGAAGCCCAGATTCTGGAAAGCCCTATAACTGAGAGGAGCTCATGTTGACTATCAAATCCTTAAAACCTGGGAAGAGCCAAGGGCCAGATGGGTTCCCGGCCTACTACTACAAATATTTTCCTGCCTTGTTTTCTCCACACCTCCTACAAGTCTTAAATTCTCTCAATGAATCGGGTAATATACCAGCATCCTTTCTATTGGCCCACATTACTGTTCTCCCTAAACCACACAAGGACCATTCGGATTGCGTGAGTTACAAATCTCCTTGCTCAATATGGACGTGAAGTTACTGGCAAAAATTTTGGCAAATCTCCTGATACCTTTTCTCTCTAATCACAAAGGCCTGGATCAGGTAGGTTTCCAGCCAG